AGGAGAGGAGAGGAGAGGAGAGGAGAGGAGAGGAGAGGAGAGGAGAGGAGAGGAGAGGAGAGGAGAGGAGAGGAGAGGAGAGGAGAGGAGAGGAGAGGAGAGGAGAGGAGAGGAGAGGAGAGGAGAGGAGAGGAGAGGAGAGGAGAGGAGAGGAGAGGAGAGGAGAGGAGAGGAGAGGAGAGGAGAGGAGAGGAGAGGAGAGGAGAGGAGAGGAGAGGAGAGGAGAGGAGAGGAGAGGAGAGGAGAGGAGAGGAGAGGAGAGGAGAGGAATTTCCTCCCTGCTTCTTCTCCAAACATGATGTGGTAGCCTCCCCTTCCAGCTGCTGCCTTGTCTGTTAGGGACTGGGGGAAGAGGTGGTCATTCTTCAGAGAAGAAATGTACAAGCAAAATTTAACAAGCTCGATTTTCAAGGTACCCCATTGCTTATCCCAATCCATGTGCATCTACCCTGGGGTTTAATTAATTAATTAATTAATTCATTCATTCATTTATTTTCATGCAGTACCTTCTATCTGAATTCAGCTTGCTTTATCACACAGGACCGTAGCAGAGCGCAGGGGAGCTGCTGCACTACCATCCCCTCTCCTCTCCTGCCCCAGTTTATTCCCTGGCTCTGGGCCCACGCTTTACTGGTGAGATGCTTCTTATTAAAATTGCTTTTCTTTCACTAGATGTCTGTCAGGCAGGACTCAGCTACACAAGCAAATAGGATCAGTGCTTACCATATCACTGAACAGAGACGATGGGAGGGCAGGTCTCCCTGGGACTGTGGGGTTTTGCCCACCTGCATGGGGTTCCACCAGTCTAGTCCCTGAGGATGGCAAGCGGTGACACTGGGACTGTGCCTTCCTTCTGTTTTTACCAAGGAAGAACAGCTTTTGACCATGGTTAGAGTCCATTGCAGCCTGTCACCCAAACAGGAATAAAAAAAATGCACATGGCCTTGGCTTTGTGTCCCCTGGAACAGGGGGCAGTAACTTAAAGCATAGAGCTTGAAAGAAACAGCAGCAGGAACCTCTATCTCCAAGGCTTCCCCTTCACTTTGCTGGAGTTGTCTGCAGTGTTCTGACCTCCCCACTGTCCTCTTAAAACCTGGTTCTTTCAACAAATCCGGCCACTGAAATTGATGTGATCGAACAAGACTTTTTAGAACTTCACTTGCCTGTATGGCAGAGTGTTTGATTCTTTAATATTTAATTTTTGTTATAAATTTCTACCATTTACTTTGGGATTTCACACTACATGATTCTAAAATTGGGCTGAATACTAGCTCAGAAACAAAATCCACTCTTGAAATACTGAGGATAGTATTATTCTCTTTCATACAGTGTTCCCTAGACCTTGTAAGTACACCCATTTCCTCCAGTTGTATTCATTAAAAAGGTAATTAGCATAATGAGCTTATAAAAGTCTGAGGTGATTTCACAAAAAAATATATAATATTTTATGCTGAGTTCAGCATACATGAAGTGTGAAATTGTATTGGAGTTAGGCTGAAGAATTGCACTAGGATGGGAAATTAAATCAGTCCTTAATCAGTAATTTCAGGATGCTTACTTATTAAAAAAAATGTATTTTGCTCCTCTCAATTAAAGTAGGCTTGAGGCTACATTCATTTCAGCAGCTTTTCAAAACCAGGTAAATAATACCAATCTTACTAAGAATGAAGTGCAAATTAGTTCAAATACGGATAAGGAATTTTCTTACAAAAATGCAGAATACTGACGTGCTGATTACAGCTGCAATTAATAGTGTCAGCCTAACAGGCATGCATTAACAAATGTGATTTATACCTACCAGGTCCAAATGCCCCATTTTCCCTTCAGTGCATTTATCTGCCTGCTATGGAACAGTTAATAATGTCAGCTGCTTCTTCTGGCCAGTCTTTGTGTCCCTATGACCTTTGGGAGGCTGTGACATGGCAATTAGGAGTATTTCAAAGATTTCAGGTTGGACCTTGATTGTAACCATTAAAAATAAGCGTGAATTGTTTTTTCCCCAGAGCCTTCCTGGGCATGAACCCCACTTGCAGACCAAGTATGAGGACAAAGTCAATCTCACCTCAAGCATCCTGAAGTGAGGTATCTACTCCACACCACTTGCCCAGGTAACAGCATGGGCAGAAGAGAAGACGGAAACCTCCAGAAAGCCTTTCAGCCCCAGCTCAACCACCTCTCATCTCTCTTCATCCAGGCTTTGACAAGCAGTCACCAAACAGCATATAGCATATTGCCTGTGATTTGCTCAGGATCCAAAGAAATGACAAGTGGAAACGACATTGTTTGATGGATTGTGTCAGAACTCCTGCAAACGTGAGTTGAATTTGCTCACAGAAATAAGGAACAATTTCCAGACAGGACCTCAGTGGAGCAGCCACCAAGGGTACAGATTAATGAACTGAAACTTCACTATCTTTAACCACAAGCCTGTTGCTTGCTGTCACACCATCAAAAAAAGAAAGTAGTATTTAATGGGACTGAGTTCTTATTTCAGTTTACTCTGTGGCCAGAAAACCGATTGCAAAGGACCAGGGATGGCAGAAGCAAACAGCCAAAGAGCAGGGAAAACCGAGGCTTGGCTCTGCTTAGCACAGCCACCAAAAAGCTGTGGGTCTAATTCACATGGAAAAGAAGTAGAGGTGCCTCTCCGTGCACAGCCAGCAGAGCTTTTGGTTCCTCACGACCTGTGGAGAGGGAATTGCAATGGCAACAGCTCATTGCTGTGGGCTGGATCCCTGCTCCAGGCGTTCTGGTGTGGGGAGGCACCACCTCCGGGCTGGGTCGTCTCGAGCTCAGCTTCATGGCTCTGCCGCTGCGAGTCCCCAGGTTATGGACCACCAGGTCACGTGGCAGGGCAAACTTGATCCAGATTAGCTATAGGCATGACAGTCACACTTAAGTCAAATTAACTCAAGATCGGGTTTTCTTAGAATCACATTTTCATAGCGGCTTTACACAGCGAGGGAGGATAGCCTGTGGCTGTCTTGTAGGCAAAGCGTTGGAGTGGTTTGGTCAGGCACTACCCGATCTGCAATAAATCTTATCGGTGTTAAGTAGCATTAGTGGTTTGGATCCGGGATGAGGCATGCTAAAATTGGATTTCCTGTTTTATTAACCCAAGGCCTGAGGACAATAACAGCGCCAGTCAGAAGTGTTACTCCTGATCAGAGATTAAAAAGAAATAGACGAGTGGGAAGATGAGATAAAGTAAATTAATCTCTCCTTGATTCACTCACTAAATCAGTAAAGATCTTTCAAATAATTATATTCATTGATGATATCTTCTGAACATGCCAAAAAGTCAGGCCAAAGAAATGCAACACCCTGTCAACCTCATGCTAACCCAAGCTTGCAGGAGGGTTGTAGACATGAGGAAGGCTGGTACCTCCTGCACAGGCAGAGCTCTCCTGGAGCACAAGGGGGGTGCCAGGCCCTCGAGAAATGCAGAACCAGGAACAAAATTGAGGGCGCTCAATTTTGGAATTTCTTATACAATCTTTTAAAGACTGAATGAAAGCCACAGTCAGGAAATACATAATAGAAAAGACAAACTTAAATCTGTGATGTTTCTAAACGAGTGTGTCTCCATTTATCTCTTAAAGCATTTTCAGGCTTTTTTTTATAAAACAGTACTGTATCTAGTGATGTGGTAGTCCAATTCTCATAGAGTTTTAAACAAAAGAAAAAAAGAGGAAAAAAGAGCCTATTTCAAGTACTCACTGTCTCACATGGCTGGCTTTTTCTGAGGTGAACATTATTTACACTTGAATACAGTATGTGAGACTGCAAATCAATTACATGATTCACTTTGAATTACTGAAGACAATTAGTAATATCTTCACTAATACCCTTCTGTTTTAAACATAACATAACAAGTTCAGGCACAAAATGTAAAGCTATTTTTCTCAACATAGAATTTAGAGAGTTTATTCAAGTTTGAAAATAAGAAGTATGAAAAGATGTAACTACTCTGACACAGAGACTAAATTGCCAGTGTTGAAAGGTGTGCAGACGGAGCAGGACAGGCAGAAAGTGAAAGCAGAGAAAAACAAAAGTGAAGCTAAGGCCACCACGAGCCCTCTACCAAAAAGCAGCAGTCAGAGTAGAAGGAATGCAGGAACTGGGCAGAAGATGCACCAAAGGAAAGGCTGCGGTAGCAGGGAGCTTGGAGTGGGAAGGAAGAAAACCATCACAACATAGTCAACAAGGATGAGAAAGTAAGCAGGAGAGAATAGCCAACTGGAAGGAAAGAAAAGGAACAAAGACCCTCAAGAGTCTTTTTTCTGTTTGCCAAATCAGTTTTGCAATCAAGCCCTTAAGTGCTTTACCAGCAGTTCTTTTTCACATTAAGCACTTTTAGTGGTGAAGGCATGCCACGCAGAAACAGTCAGGGGCAGCAGACAGCACAGTTATGAACAGGAGGTTTGGTGTTTGTAAGGCACACTGTCACCATCAACTCTTGTTTTGCAAAAACACTTGGTAACTGCTTTTCAGTTTCCCCACCGCAAACCTCATTTTAAAAATAGACAGAAGGCAAAACTTGCTACCCACAGCGAGGCAAGCCCAATGCTCAGCAAGCTCTGATCAAGTTCAGAAAGTGACTTGTGAAGCTATTTGGAAAATACTTGTACCCTCTCATAGGAAAAAAACAACACACCCAGGCGCCCACGTGAAGGACTAAAAGTTTCTCCAGGATTTTCTGCAATGTCATGCAACTTCTCAGCAGCCATCAAAAAAAAAAAAAAGGAAAAGCAAAAAGAACAGCTCTAAACCACATTCAGAAAATGCACTGACTCCTATTGTAACAAATTCCCCAAACAATTTTAACAGTGCTACTTCTATTCCTCTGTCAGCACTGAAGCCCTACGAAAATAAGTATGGCCATATTGAATAGACAAAAGCCCATCTAGTTCAAATTCCCCTCTCTGAGAGTGGCAAGTTACACATGCCCAGGGAACAGGATAAATAACAAGCAAATGTGCTGACTGTTCTCAGTGTACCTTCCCTGCTTCCAGGAATCAGCAGTTTGGGAACCTTTTGAACCAGGAACTGCATCTGTCATGGTGAGGCTGTTGGGTTTAACAGGTCCCCGGAGGACCTCTTTAAGGTGCTTAAATGGAGGCTTCACACTTACCATTAAATTGGATAAATTGAACACCTCCCCTTTATAAGTGACCCAGTTTCCAAAGGAATGGAGCTGCTCTATATTTACTTTCCCCGTGGGAGCAGTAAATAGCATTCAGTACTATTCTAAAAGAAAATCACTTATTATGACGCCTAAAGCTGGATCCAAGTGCCATATTATTTTCAACACTATTACCCCATCTTCCCATATATAAGAAACCTTGCAAGGAACTTGTCTGAAAACAGTACATGACAAATCTGCTTTGGGCATTGTAATAATTTGAAGAACCCAGGGAATTTTTCTGCTGCTGTTCAATGGTACCTAGGAGACCATCAGGAAACCTACTGTCCCAGCAAGTATTTTAAAACAAAGAGTACAATTGGGATAAATACCCAGTGATGGTTATGGGCACAAATGCACAGCAGAATCATGCTGAGGAAGGAGATATTTCAGCTAAAGAACTAACAGGGCACACTGAACACCACTTTTCAGATCTTTCTGAACAGATATGGACAGATGTTTAGAAAATGAGGGGAATGTTGCATTTTAGTATTTTCTGATGGATAGGAATAAGGGCTGACAATTGTGTTCCCTTCTGCTTTGAGTGTCAGGAACAGTTTGGCAGTCAATTGGTGAGGAAAAAAGCCATCAGCACCTAAACCAAAGCATGCTTCCAACTGAAACCTCGCACAGGTTCTTCCTGTGAGACCAGTTGTTTTTTCCCCTGAGAATCCAAAACTGGAAAGAGTACATGAGCTCAGCTATGCCCTGCCTGCAGTACGGGCACAGTCTCACTCACCCTAATTCAAACTCACCCTTTGCCACTTGTCTGTGAGTCCTTGCAGGGCTGCTCAGCCTCAGGCCTGATGCACGGTGCCCTGCAAGAACAGCAGCGAATCTCCCACTGGCTTTGAAAGAGCATCATCTGTCACCACCAGGAAGTCCTCCTGATGGTACTCAGCTTAAATACTTGTACCCTGAATACACTGCATTCTGCTTACTGGCCTTGGTGAAGCTCCCCAAAACGCTGCTGCCTCTCTTATGGGTGATGGCAGATGATAAGCCCTTATCTCTGCAAAGGGAGTGCAGCTGGCCGGTCCCTCCAACTTCACTAGGAGTGAAAAGCACTTTTCTTTACCAACTGGAAAAGCACTTTGCTTTGGCAAAATTTTAAGAGCAGATAAAATTTAACAGCCTCCTGCAACAGAACAGCTTGTGACTCAGATGCAGCCACTCCAGCCCTGCCTCAGCTGCTTACTTTCAGTTCTTCATTCCTCATTTTAAGGAATTGTTTACTTTAAATTTAAAAACCAAACCAACAAAAAAAAAAAAAAAAGGAAAAAAACCCACTGTTTCAGAAATCCATTAAAGGATTCTTCTATGCAGAAGAATGCCTTTGTCCACTTCTGCAAATGGGTAAAGTGTAATACAGACCAAAGAGCGAAGCACTTTGCTGAGTCACGGTAAGCAGGAATATCTCCAGCCTGCTGCTGATCATCCCCACCCAATAAACAGCTTTGCAGGGAGGGGACAGAGAGTGGCAGGCAGGACAGCATTACCATATGACCATCAGCTATTTCACTTTGGAGCTGTAAGCCAGCTGAGTAGAAATTCTGTGTTAAGCAATGCCGTCAGACTTACTTACACAACTGAAATCACCTATTTACAAAGAACCATCATATGGCTAATACATAAACGTAATTGAAAGCAAAACACGAAGAAAAGAATAAGCAAACAAAGAAAAACCCCAGACACAGAACCAAGCAGTGGCATAAAATAAATTTCAAATCCTCAAGAAGCCTGAAAGCCAGCCATGGGAGGTCTAATAGCTCCTTATAGCTATGTTTTGGATGGCACAAAATGGTCAGCACATGCTGCACCTGAACCCAGCCTGAAGGAAGCTGCAGAATTCTCCCCCACCGAGCCAGCTAAACAGAAAAATCCACCAGGGTGAAGGGCTTTCAATGGCAATATCTAAATCTGAGATATGAAATAATCAGAGATGAGCACTGAGGACTCGCAAACACACAAGTATGACAGGGAAATAACTGAAAAGCAAAACTACTAATTTGGAAAAGGTTGCTGATGTGTGGTGTGTGTGATGAGAGGCCAGCAAGAACATCAGTTCTGTTAAGATTATCTAATTCAGAGAAAATAAACATATCTTGATGCCTTACAAGTGTCTGAGGACACAAACAAGCACAAATCTTCAACACAGCACTTTAAGCACCACGTGGCACAGAGATGACAGTCAGCAGTAGTGCTCTTGCTGTGACAGAGGGGCTCAGAACAACATCCTGTTTCCAGCGATACCGGCTCAGGGGGATGTCCTTGCACATCTATATTACCTTTCAAGCACCTTCTTCCACACTGGATGAACTCAGTCACAGATATTCAGGAGTGCAAAAAGACAAAAGTGTTATTAATTATGATTAGCTGTGGCTTTCACTTGTCCTGTGGGGCAAGAGGACTCAGACGAAGTGCTATGCAGTGTGGATAGGGCCAGCCACAGGAGAGAGTGGTGAAGGTGAAAGTCTTCCTGCACCACTTGGGCTAAGATGCCTTCAGCTGTGTAAAGAGCCAAAGGTCAGAGATGCCATTCTAGGCCCTGAACACCAGTGATGATCTGCACTGAATGAAAAGTAATGACATGAAACCCGCATGGGTTTTCTCTGGGTTGCATTGATGGTAACAGTCTCTCCTTGTCTTTTCAGAACTGTGTAGTTGGATTTGTTGCACAAATTTTCCTTATCATGTTTTCTTTCAGTCTCATATTTAAATCTTCATTACTACTGTGTTGTCAGGGCTTGCATTCAGCAATCAGCTCAGTTATAATGCAAACAAAACAGTTACAGCTAAACCCAGGCATGCCTCTGCAGAATTATGCAGCTCATTCCCTTCTCCTTTCCCCCAGCATTACTATTTGTAGAACTTCCTTCATGTATCTCCATTTCCACGCTCATGGGCAAGATGCAGGGTACAAAAGGTTTCTGCAGAACAGTGTTTTGTATAGAATTGACTCTCTGCAGAAAGTGTGTTTCTCTCTTCCCTCTTTAGGCTTCTTTTTCTTAATTTGTTTTAGCCATTGTTATCAAGATAGCCTTGAAAACTTGAGTTGAATATAAGTAGATACTGTTCGTCTTACTGTCGCTCTGTAACCCACAAATGATTTGTAGAAGGCTAAGGTTCTCCATGATCTCAGTAGATAGTTACCATGGAAAATTAGTGTCACCTCACTTTTTAAAAGTACTTAACTTCTTAGAAGGCAATTAAACTCATGTTTTATGTGGCAATAATATTTCTTAAAACACTGGTAATATTTTCAGCAAAGAAATGTGACTATCCAGATCTCCAAAATGTCTCCAACTTCGTCTGCATCAATAGCATTTGCTAGAAAAAAATGTTTATAGTATTAGTGATTTGTATATATATATTAATTTTTTTTTAACTTTTTTTTTCAGCAGCAAAGTTGTCCAAGAATGCAATCATAGCAGCCACTGAATACCAAGATCTTGCCACATAAGTCATGCATAATTCCTTGAAGTGCAGGGGGCTTATTTTGAAGACTTCTACCACTGAAGGTCATATAATGTCTTTGCTCTTTGACCAGTGCTGGTGCGATCTCTCAAAAGTGTCCTAAGTTCTTACCTTTGAACTTCATTACATGTCTCCTTTCTTCCATGATCTGACACACAAGCAACATACCACCTTCAAAGAACAGTAATATGTTTGGTTTTTAACATTTTTTGATGGAAAGCTTAGCAAGTGCTCCCAGAAAGCCTGACCTCCACACTGAATACATGCGCTCCCTCAAATCATCACACATTAAGGAAGTCAGTAAACAAACAAAACAAACTGTAAAGCTGCAGCCACGTGCATTGGCATGTCACTCAAATTTGGACCAATGTAAATATTGGTGACAGGGGAGAGAGGAAGCAAGTTTGCCATATATTCTGTCAGTTGGAAATGCTTGACTTTAAAGGATAAGCATCATCTGGCAAAGTCTGATCTTAAAAGTTCAATTGTTTCTATTGCTTTTAGTTCTCCTTGGCAGGGGGGAGGAGTGGGAAAAAGGGAGGGTAAAGTCTGTTGCACAGCACCCGTGTGGAAGGTATACGTTACCTGCTGGCACTAGAACACACTCATGAGCAGGCTTCAAGCTGTTGGACAAAGGCAACCAGGTGCTTAGAGATGCCCAGCTCAAACTGCAGCCTTGCCTCCAGCATTGGAGAGCTCATAACTTTGCTGGAGCCACTTTGCTCCGCAAATCCAAGCCTAAGCTTAAACACAGCTACTAGAGGTAGGGAGGAGAGAAGCAGAGGACCTCTGGAGCACAGAGCCAGAGCTCTGCTCTTTGGCACTGGGAAGGCTGTCCTGAAGGCACTGCTAGCTAAAAAAAGTTTTTCCCAGCAACCTGGGCTCTACTCAGATGCTCATGTTCATGAGTGACATGCTATTCAGCACAGGTGCACTTAGCAAGACAATTTTCTATGGAACACTTGAAGGTTACTACAAGGCCTAAAATCCCCTCTTCGCTACATCCAAATAAATGTTAACAGCTGGCTGAGTGACCTGAACAGCCCCTCTCATCTGGCAGCCCATTTGCGTGTAACCCTCACATGATTGGTTTTCACTTTACCTTTGTGACAAACAAAATACTGTCACATGATGAATCAGACTTTGGACCTGGATAGGTCGAGGAGAAGGACAATACTCTCTACTGTTGATTCCAGGCCAGATCTGCACTTCTTTTGACCCACTGTCTGTGTCTGTGTGTCTCTGTGCAAAGACATAGATGCCAGACCAAAGCAACTCACTATCTGAAGTAAATTATCAAGGCCACTGAGTTGCACATTGGGTTTATCCTATGCTAAGAGACACATGACAGGACAGTGTTGTCCCTAAATTTGAGACTGAATGACAAGTCACATGCCAGTGAAACAAATTAAAGCTTTTGTCAAGATCATATGACCCATGTTACAGTCAATCTGGCTTCAAATCAGTTTATGAAGTAACTGAGTGTTCACAAAGTTATTAAACTGCACTTCCTATTTCAAGAGAACAGATACAACAGGGAACCTCTGAAGTTTTTATGTGCTTTTAGCAGATACGACTTTCTGCAATATTTGTAATTGAAAAGCAGTATTTAAGACTGAAAGGAGGTCCTCTGAGCATCTACTCCTCAACTATGTCATCTCTCCTTGTACCATACCTGTGAGGAGGCCAGAATCATCTCAGTGACTCAGTGACTAATGTGACAGTGCACTGCTGAGAATGAAGACAGCACCTTAATGTGACAGTGCACTGCTGAGAATGAAGACAGCAGGGGTATTGCGGTGTCCGTCCCACCTCAAAGCAGAGAGAAAATGGTATCTATAACCCAAGGAGCAGCCATCATCAGTGAGCAGATAAGGCTCCTGCCATACACGCTCTGCTTGTACAAAACGCATCCTGCAGTTTTGCAGATGCCAGGGCGTGCTCCCTCCGTTGTGTACATCCAGGTGGGCAGAAGTCCTCTCTAAGCAGCAGAATGGTAGATCTGCAACCCACATGACGTCTCCTGTAGAGCCGAAGCACGTGCCACAGCAGCTGTGCCAACGGAGACACCACACCTCTCCCCTGAGACATGGCACCTGGCAGGTCAGACACGGAGGGAATGAGAGGTATTAACCGGAGACCAGCTTTTACATGCCCTGACAAGCCAAGGGAGCGTGGAGGGGAGCAGCCATAATAAAACCTCTAAATCATAATAAAACCTCTAAATCACCACAGCTGAAGGCAAAAAAACGTGGCAGCATGGAGCAAAACGAAGCAGCATCTTCCTCCTCGGCCAGAGCAGGGCCGTGTTGTCCCCCAGGCAGGCTGACCCCGCGGGCCCAGCTGAGCTCGAGGCTGGTGGTGGGACTGGGTTCCACTGGGTTCACTGGTGTGGTGCTCAAGGACGCCAGACACCGGGACGGTGTCAGGGGAGGCCAGAGTCGGGGACGGTGTCAGGGGAGGCCGGAGTCACCCGACGATAAGGAACATCCTCCTTGCGCAACCGGGCCAAAACAAACTCCCTGGCTTGGTAAACAGTGGGCGACAGCCACGCCTGGCACACTGCTGATCACAGAACTGCTGGTTTGGCACCCATTTTCTAGCAGCTGCGCCACGCGTGCCCTGGCATGGGTGCCAACAGCCGGTGGGGGG